CGTGAAGCAGGGGCATATCCCAAGAAATTTTGCCAGGAGTTCGCAGCAGCCCATGCCGCGTGGTGGCGGAGCCCATCGACGGCTCAGCCAGGCGGCTCTATCCTCTGAGTATCGACGACATCTCCGTGAGGCTGCCCAGTACATGCTTCAATTGGTTCACAAAGTGGGCGGGTCTATCTCCCAGAGGTCCTCGCCGAGCCGGGTGGATCGATTCCTGGAGCGTGCTGTTTGCCTGGCCTTTGACTCGGGGGAAAAACGGTATTGGGTGGTGCTGGGAGTTCTTGGTATACAGAGGTCGCTCCGCATCGCTGGGCCCTTGCTGAAGAACACTTGGACGCTATTGCGAGGTTGGAGGCGGCTTGAACCGATCAAGTCCCGGGTGCCCCTTCCCTTCCATGTCCTACAGTGCCTTCTCATCTTTTGCTTGGTTCGAGGCTTCCAATTTCATGGACAACTGCGAGCCGAGTGGTGGTCCGTCATGATTGGATGCTGGTTGGGGTATCACGCCTTACTACGGCCAGGCGAGGTAGACGCCCTCCGGATGGGTGACCTACTTTTCCCTGTGGATGGCGAGGTGGCTCAGGGTGCTGCGTTGGTCGTCAACATAAAAAACCCCAAAACCCGTAGGGTGTGGAATCATCAATTTGCACTTGCGGAAGATGAGCAACTTATCAGGTGGCTACGTTGGTGGTCATTGGCATGTTCGAGGCACCAGCGGTTCTTGCGTGTTTCCAGAAGACGATGGGCTACACTTTTCAAACAGGCGATGGAAGAAATGCTCCTCCATGGTTGCCAGTTTACACTGGGGTCCCTCCGAGGTGGCGGAGCCACACATCACTTCCGAGTGCACAAGAATGTAGGGCAACTCCAATTCGCAGGTCGTTGGGCAAGGCCAGAGACCTTGCGACATTACCTCCAGGAGGCATTGTCGATTCAAGTTGTTGCGCAAGCTCCGGTTGAAGCACGAGAGATTTTGGGTGTGTTGCAGCAGCATGTTTTCAGACTTCATATGCCGCCTCCTTTTCCTCTACAAGAGCTCTTGGCTAGTCGGAGGATGTAGGGATGAACACTCGTGTTGGCCGTGC